ACAATCTGTGCCGCAATGGCCGCTGTGTCAATGTCATCGGCACCTACCAGTGCTCCTGTGACTCGGGCTTCCAGGCCACGCCCGACAGGCAGGGCTGTGTGGGTGAGTGGCTCCTCCAAATTTTCCTTCCAAAACCTCGGGGTGAGCCCAGAACCCTCCTGGGCTCGGGTGTGTTGTGGTGTTCAGAGCGTAAAGCAAAGGGGGAATGGACTGGGTGAGTGACAGCCAAACTGGTGCCACTGGTCAGGGACTGTCCTGGGCTGGGAGGGCACTGTCCTGGGCTGGGGGAAGGAATGAGGGGTTTTTCCTTCTGGCTGGGGGAGATCCGTGTCCTCTTCTCACCCCAAAAGTGCTGTCCGGGCTCCTGCCTGTGTGGGGCTGGGGGTTGGGGTTGGGCTGGGTGGTCCCTGGGTGGTCCCTGTGGGTCCCTGGGTGCTTCCTGGTGGTCCCTGGGTGGTCCCTGGGTGGTCCCTGGGGGTCCCTGGGTGGTCCTTGGGGGTCCCTGAGGGTCCCTGAGTGGTCCCTGGTGGTCCCTGGGGGTCCCTGAGGGTCCCTGAGTGGTCCCTGGGGGGTTCCTGGGGGTCCCTGGGTGGTTTCTCAGGGTCCCTGGGGGTTCCTGAGTGGTCCTTGGGGGTTCCTGGTGGTCCCTGGGGGTCCCTGGGGGTCCTGCCCAGTTTGGGCTGGAGGTTGGGATTGGGCTGGGTGATCCCTAGGTGGTCCCTGGGGGTCCTGGGTGGTCCTTGGGGGTCCCTGGGTGGTTTCTGGGGGTCCTGGGTGGTCTTTGGGGGTCCCTCGGGATCCCTGGGGATCCTGCCCAGTTTTGGCTGGAGGTTAGGTTTGGGCTGGGTGATCCCTGGTGGTCCCTGGTGGTCCCTGGTGGTCCCTCTGGGTCTCTGGTGGTCCCACCCAGCTCAGACCGTTTTGTGGCTGTCCCCAGACATCGACGAGTGCACCATCACCAACGGCGGCTGTGACACCCACTGCTCCAACTCCGAGGGCAGCTACGAGTGCAGCTGCAGCGAGGGCTATGCTCTCATGCCAGACAAGAGGTCCTGTGCAGGTCAGTGGCCACCTCGGCTCTCTCGGGGGCTACTCAGGGACCTCTGTGTCCCCCCAGGGTCAGGGGGTGTCATTAATCCCCTCCAGAGATGGGATTTTCCTCTCCCATCCCGGGATGGTTTTGCTTTGCTCTGCCGTGTCCAACCCCTCATGGTTTGGGATTTTCCCGTTCCCTCGTGCTCCCCCGTTATTTTGTCACCGTCCCCTCTCTGCAGACATCGATGAGTGCGAGGACAATCCCGAAATCTGCGACGGGGGGCAGTGCACCAACATCCCCGGCGAGTACCGCTGCCTCTGCTTCGACGGCTTCATGGCRTCCCTGGACATGAAAACCTGCATTGGTGAGGACCTGGCCGTCCCCAGCTCTGTGCCCTGTCCCCAAAGCCACCCCTGGGGTGTCCCACGGCTGTTTTTGTCCTGCAGATGTGAACGAGTGCGACCTCAACCCCAACATCTGCCTGCACGGCGAGTGCGAGAACACCAAGGGCTCCTTCATCTGCCACTGCCAGCTGGGGTATTTCGTCAAGAAAGGAACCACGGGGTGCACAGGTGGGAGCTGCCTGCACCTGGAGCCAGGGGGAAATGTGGCAAATAATGGGAAATGATGGGAAATAATGGGAAATTATGGGAAACAACAATGGGGAACAATGGGAAATAATGGGGAATAATGGAAAACAACAATGGGGAACAATGGGAAATAATGGGAAACAACAATGGGGAGCAAGGGGAAATAATGGGAAATAATGGGAAACAACCATGGGGAGCAATGGGAAACACTGGAAAACCATGGGAAACAATGGAAGACAATGGGGAGCAATGGGGAACAATGGGAAACTATAGGAAACTATGGGGAACAATGGGAAATAATGGGAAACAATGGGAAACCATGGGAAACAACCATGGGAAACAATGGGAAACAAACATTGGAAACAATGGGAAGTAATGGGGAGCAATGGGAAACAATGGGAAACAACCATGGGAAACAATGGGAAACCATCATGGAAAACCATGGAAAACATTGGGAAACAATGGGGAACAATGGGGAACAACCATGGGAAACAATGGGAAACCATGGGAAACAACCATGGGAAACAATGGGAAACATTGGGAAACAACAATGGGAAACCATGGGAGAAACAATGAGAAACAATGGGAAACAACCATGAAAAATATTGGGAAACAACCATGGAAAATATTGGGAAACAACCATAGGAAACACCTCCCACAGCTGCCATGGTTGCTCACCCAAGGCAGTGCTAATTCCCTGGACTTAAAGAAAGAAAAAGAATAAAGACACAAAGAATAGGGAAAAAAGGAAGTGGGGAATGCACATTAGAAGGGGGTCTGTGTTAGGGTATTTGGGGGAGTCTGTACCTGTCAAGTCCCTCAGCCAGTGGGGAAAGAGAGAGGGAAATGGGGTCAGGAAATTGGGATAAAAAGGAGGCAGCATCCTCTAACAATTGGAGACACCCCATGGAAATGCACCGCAGCCTCTCCCTTTATTCAAATAAAGTCACAGGACTCCTCTGTCTCCTTTTTAGACATAACCCCCTGATGTTTATAAATTAATTTTCCTCACATTCCCCTGCAGACATCGACGAGTGTGAGATTGGGGCTCACAACTGCGACATGCACGCCTCGTGCATCAACATCCCCGGCAGCTTCAAGTGCAAGTGTCGCTCGGGCTGGCTCGGGGACGGGCTCAAGTGCAACGGTGAGTCCTGAGCTGGGCTGAGCTGGGCTTAGCTGGGCTGGGCTTAGCTGGGCTGAGCTCCCACCAGAGCGCCAGGAGATTTGGGGGAGCTCAGCCTGGAGAAAAATGGGAACAGGGGGGACTTTGTGGCTCTGCACAACCCCTGAGAGGAGGGGACAGTTGAGGGGTCGGGATCTGCTCCCAGGGGACAGGTACAGAGAGGGAATGGCCTCAGGCTGCATCAGGAGATTTAGGTTGGATATTGGGAAAATGTTTTGGTGGAAAGGGTTGTCTAGCCCTGGCATGGTCACCATCCCTGGAGAAATGYCCTTGGGGACACGGTCAAGGGCTCAGCAGTGTCCTGGGCATGGCCACAGAGGCTCCCAGGGATTTGTTGGAGCTTCCAAACGCCCAGACAGTCTCTTGGGCCATTTGTAGCAGTCTGAGCTCAGGGAAAAGACAAAAAAAGTGTCCAAGGCCAGGTTGGAAGGTGTCCCTGGAGATCCTTAAGGTTCTTCCCACCCAAACCACTCTGTGGTTCTGAGAAAAGCGGGTCCTGCTCACCCAGGAGCCCAAGGCCATTGCAGCCCGGCAGGCAGTGACAGTGACAGTGAAAGTGACAGTGACAGTGACAGTGACAGGGTTTTGAGGGTGTTGTCCATGCCCAGACCTGGATGAATGTGCCACCGAGGAGCACAAGTGCAACCTGAACGCCAACTGCGTGAACACGCCGGGCTCGTACCGCTGCGCCTGCCGCGACGGCTTCAACGGGGACGGCTTCTCCTGCTCCGGTGAGCGCGGGGTGCGGGCAGGAATGGGGCTGGGAAATGGGGCAAGACCCACTGAGCCATCGGGAACGGGGCTGGGAAATGGGGCAAGACCCACTGAGCCATTGGGAACGGGGCTGGGAAATGGGGTTAGACCCACTGAGCCACTTGGAACAGGGCTGGGACACGGGGTCAGACCCACTGAGCCACTGGAAACGGGGTGGGACAGGGGTCAGACTCACTGAGCCACCGGGAATGGGGTGGGACAGGGATCAGACCCACTGAGCCACTGGGAATGGGGCTGGGAAATGGGGCTAGACCCAGTGAGGCACCGGGAACGGGGCTGGGAAATGGGGTCAGACCCACTGAGCCATGGCAATGGGGCTGGGAAATGGGGTTAGACACACTGAGCCATGGGAATGGGGCTGGGAAATGGGGTTAGACCCACTGAGCCACTTGGAACAGGGCTGGGACACAGGGTCAGATCCACTGAGCCACTGGGAATGGGGTGGGACAGGGGTCAGACTCACTGAGCTACAGGGAACGGGGCTGGAAAATGGGGTCAGTCACACTGAGCCATCGGGAATGGGGTGGGAAATGGGGTTAGACCCAGTGAGTCATCGGGAACGGGGTGGGACAGGGGTCAGACTCACTGAGCCATTGGGAACGGGGCTGGGAAATGGGGTTAGGCCCCCCTGAGCCACCAGCCAGGAATGGGAGTGACCCAAAACTGGGCTGCCCCAAAGCAGGGGGCAGCCTGGACTGCACCTGACACCTCCAGCAAGGATCCACCCGGTCCTCAGTGCAGGGATCCAGCACATCCCCTATT